GGCACGACTGCAATCTTGATGTTAACTTTTATTTCAACAATGGGCTCTGTAGTGGTAGAAGAATAAAATGATTTATTTAGTTGAAACAATAGGCCCTCTAGAATTTGTTTAGCTCCTAGTGTGTGCTGTTGGAGATTTATTTACTGCAAGTTCTGTGAAAGAGAGGTATACTCTAGAAACTATATTAATTGCATCTCCGTCATTAAAAAGCATATCTGTATAAAAATCCACGAGTTAGCGCGGGTTAAGATGCTATAGAGTAATCTAATAGTTTTAAATTTTTTTACTCATACGGGCTAAAAATTTGACTATGGACGCCGCCATTTGGAAATAACTTGATAACCTGGCTACCCCAGAAAAACCACATCGGGTTTCATAAACAGCTCCTGCTCTAGATCTGGATCTTAGAAAATCACCAACTAGATTAGTTGATAGTGACTGTTTCGATTAGATCCGGGTATTTCGAGTAGATCGCATAGTTTTCTTTGCAAGGCATAGATACAGCAGAGGAGATATTGCTGCTTGTAATAATGATGGTTCGTAACTAAACCTTCACCATGTCCTTACCTGGTGTTCTCCCCAACGATGCCTTTAACAAATTCCAAGATAGTCCGTACCTCCTCTTAAAGTCACCTGGTAGCTCATCTTCAAGAATGTCAAATATCTCGGCGGCTAAAACGCAAATAACCAACCCAAATTACTCGTCAATATTTCTTTAGATTTCTTCTGTCCAATTTCTGCTATTAAGACAAGTGTAGATAAGATGCGGGGGCACTTTATCCCTTCCTGGTTATTAGTAAAATCAATATCAACGAGCCAAACACAAAGTGTAAGATAATTATTAGGAATAGCCCATAGCTTGAGGAAGGACATAGGTTGTTACCAGGCCCTTCAGCGAAACTGAACATTACAAACTGATAATGATAAAAGAAGTGATTATAATGATTATATGAAATGATCATGGAATAATTTGTTCTCCATACTGAATATATATTTCTTACAAGGCGAGCGAATATATTTCTTACAGGGCGAGCGTTATCATTTGGTATGCCAACATTGCGAAAAATTAAGAGAACCAGATTGAGAATTGGAACTCGTGGTAGTTTCCTAGGGTTTCGATCTGTGTTTTCAGTGCTCGAACGCCGTGAATACGCATACGCTACAGGCTAACAGCTAACTAAAAAATTGATATGACCTCCTTCCTTGAAGAGTTGTTGTGCCTGATGAATAATTCGAAGCATGGTCAAAGGCGAAGGTGAAGTGACGCCGATGTAATGAATCACCTCGTTCGTTAGGTTGAAGCAACGCTCTGTGAGACTCAGTAACGCCTGGACAACATCAGTGGTTTTAGCTGAAATTGCAAGAGGTATTTATAAAATTACAGTTGTCACAAGGTGAGGTTAACTTGCTACAGTAACATGCATCTGCAGACAGACCGGAACTTGTCGTGGCTCTTTTAGCGAGGCGACTCAGTATCTCCGTTCTTTCTTGTTAGGACTCCCATCCAACCACAAGTCCCCAGCAAAGATGGGACACTTGTTCAGTATGACAGGAGCTGGCTAAAAATTTGGCTCCAGTACGCCATAACTAACCTATTGTCAGTAAAGTCCTTTTAAGGTCCGCCTTGACCCAGCAAAGAGTCTCTTCTGTAGATTCCAAGTGGTCCGGAAGTTTTCTACACCAAACATAACAAAGCAAAAGAAAAAAACAAGAAAAACAAACAAACATTAATACCACGTGGTAAAACGGAAGCCTCAGTCATAGACCTTAATCCCTGCTGCATGCGAGCTAACTGAAGATTTACAAGTGGATTGGCGTGCATTTAAATTTGAAGATCCACCCTTATGAAAATTGCTTGTCATAGGTTAAAGGACACTCAATGGGCCTCCTAACATTAAATTTGATTCTCTATTAATACTCTGCGTAACAAAAAATCATAGCAATCGTTCTTTTGTTTGGGTATTGAAAACTGCAAATTGAGGAAAACTGCATCGATGTTATATGAAAGGATACAATGTTTGATACTAGGAAGTGTTTACCAGGATTTGAGCTGAGACGCTCTGATTCTATTCCCCTCCCCCCCTTACCTCCCCTACCCCACCGTTGACAAAAATTAAAACGACCATATGTTGTGCCTTAAATGTTTTTAAGGATGGTTTCAAGGCTGCCACGGTCAAACCAGGCCAGCAATGACTTGTAATAAACGTGACCGCACAACTAGTCCAGCAGACTGCATCTGAATGTTATGTTTAATTCATTTCATCGGCTTAGCATACTTGCTTCCCAATTCCAGATCAACAGCCAGCTTCAAGCCAAGAACTGTTGGGAGAAGTTGCAACGGGACACCAACACATTTGTTGTAATACTCCTCTATACTGTCACATTCTCCGCACCATAACATGCTTGATGTGAACAACAAAGAAGCAGTTGGCCTGATTTAAATATAAAAATAAAGAAAACAGAAATTACCAAGATGTCCAAATACCCCTTGTGTATCAGCATTTCCAATTATAAACTAGTTAATCCATATGCTGTCATGAACTGACTTCGGATCCATCTAATGGGGACTTATTTTTCTACTTCTGGAGGTCGCAAATCTCGCTGATAATGCTTTTAACTCTTATGTACAGTTCGAATGAATTGCTTACTCCTCCTAAACCTCACTTTAGAAAGAAGACGCAATGCTAAAACATCCAATACGCACCAGGACTTTAGTTTACTGTCTCTACGCACTGGACATTTTACTTTTTGTTTTTGCTTTGCTTGTTTTTTTTGTTTGTTTTTTCATAAGGGGAAAGCGAAGGAGGGTTCTGGTCGCTGTTTGGTTCGCATATTACCTTTTGCTCACGAAAAATGAAACAAATCCTCCTCTTTCAGTGTGCCTTGGTCACTTGTGAGTAAGGTTGATGTTTTGGGGAACAGCGATGAGATTTGTTCTTTTCATTAATATAAAACTGACTTTGGCAATAAGAAACTACACTAAGAAACTGCAATGCTTTACACACCAAGCTAAAAATAACTTTATTTAAATCGACATATCCCAGCCAAGGCCCTGAATTCCCCTTACTGTCCCATCATGACCTCATGGATAACAAGAATTAAAGGAGTTCTCCTCAAAAATCCGAAAAAAGGTCAAAGGTTAATGAGGACTGACAAGATGACTTATACTTTTAACCTTGGGCCACAGCAGACAAGGACATTCAGCAAACCAGTATGATCGCTGAGATTACTTGTATCGATAACGTCGAATAACACCTCTGGAGGAAAGCCAATCGTACACAAAGCGAGGGCATCGCCGGTCCACAGGGTAACCTACAAAACAAGAGTAGGTGAAAGATGATGTTTGTCAGTGAAGGACGCACACTTGCTCTGAAAAAAGCACTCCGAGTGCTCCCAATTGTAGCAAATGAAACTTTGACATTATTAACATACAATATACGGCAACAGCTAGCTATCTATAGCTCATCCAGAGTGTTCACTTGACTCTCGCGAGACTGTAAAATACTTTCGGAATATTTATTAAATTAAAAGGTAAATGTTGGCTGGATCCATCAGCTACAGGTATTTGGTCTGCAATGCGAGGTATCACGCGCAGTTGAGAACTTAATGGATCTTGAAAGCGTATACAGCGAGCTAGATAAGGAACGGACCATTAGGTTAAGGCCTCTAGAAGACCATTTGATAGTACGACCTATAGAGCGAAAGAGTTCACTTAGAACTTAAGAGATCTGGAACAAGTGGTGCTATGCCGCTATGCCGCTATACCGCTATGCAGTTCTTTAGGCATTCTCGCCCGTGCAACGCACATGCAAACGCAATGTTCAATACAAACCCAGTATATAAAAAGTATATAAAAACGTTCCGCAAGGTAAGAAATTAGATGAATTTACAAAATATAGAAAAAAATTGTTCCAAGCCACCTGGGCTAGATTTGAAAACAAGAGGGCGTCTACCTCGGAATATATCAGACAAGAAATAGGTGGGGACTGTTATGAAGTATTTCCTAATATCGACCGCGTCATTTTTTTGTTTGCGATCGTCAAGTGAACGTCTTTTCCAGTTGCATTAGCCATTGTGTTTCAGATTGTGTCGCACCCGTGACTTGGCCACACTGTTACAAGCGTCTTTAGCAAAGAATGAGAAAACGACCATTAACCTCGGGCAATGATTGTTAGAAAAACGTCAAGTGAGTTGCACTACGTTCTTATTCATTGATTTAGCTAATCACAACGTACCATTCTCCAAGCTTACATAGTTATGAGCGTATTGGCGTATCTGCGAAAACACAATTCACCTTCAAAGTTGCTTTGTTATTCTTATTTTGCTCCTGATATCTTTTTACCCACACTGCCAGCTTTTCCTTGCAAACATCTACACATGATTTACCTTGTTCGAGGTCTTTCCTATAAGAGAAAAAAACTTTTTCTTGCAATTTCATAAATGAGTA